ACTGAAAGAACAGGGTTGTGTAACACAAGGTTAAACACTTGGCTGAAAAGTACGTAAAAGCGAATACGTGGAGTGGCGGTATTTTATGATAAATGCATAGAGGCACTGCATTCCCCGGACGATGATCGTTGGTGCTCCCGTTTCGCAACTCCTGTTTATAAGATGACGGCAATAAAACCGCCCATGTCCTGCGAATGACATACTGCCGCCCGGCTGACATCAGCGAGACCTTTCCGTAAACTGAGCCTCCGCTGCTGCTCCTGAACAGACCCAACAGGGCCCTGGGCGGGGGTGATCTTCCGGGTCACACCGCTCTGCTTGGCCCGGGGCGGCAGTGACCTCACCTAGGCTCGAGGTGGGGTCACACCCTGTCTGTTTGACTCTGGGATGGGAGTGACCTCACCTGGGTCCAGGGAGGGGCACACCTCTTCTGTTTAGCCCGGGGCGGCAGTGACCTCACCTGGGCCCGGGGAGGGGTCACGCCCGTCTGTTTAGCCCGGGCCGGCAGTGACCTCACCTGGGCCTGGGGAGGGGTCACGGCCCGTCTGTTTAGTTTGGCCCCTGATCACGGTACCGGCGGAGGCGGCGGAAACGAGCGCTCATGGATGGAGCGGGGAGTCAGCACGATGTCGTTATGTTTGCAGAAATGGGTGACGGCAACGGTCTCGTTTTCGAATGAAGTAATGTTTTCGTGGACTTCCTGTTGATGGTAGGCGTTGCACTTTAAAGTTGGTAACCCAAATAATTACGCTCAGAAGTGCACTCAAGACAATTGATTCCTCTCCCTCCCCCTGCTAAAAATTCCAGGCTCGTTTTCCTTCGTGCTTCATTTCTCCACTTCCCGCTACCTATGGCCTTTTAAAACTATACTTCGCTTCCATTTTCCGCATTGATTAAACACATGCTGCCGTCCAGCACTGGAAAACGCATCACTGCCATGCAGCTGGAGCCTGTGTGGTGGCAATTTTCAGCAAGCGAGGGACCGACGGGTGGCGGGGTTTTAGCGAGGGGCGGGCCGCCGTTTTGTAGCGACTACATGCTGATTGAGTTGGAGCCGGGGGTGGGGTCGTTCTGTAGTGGCTGTTTTGGAGCTGCTACAGGCCGAGGCAGGGCCATTCTGGAGCGACTACAGACCCTCTGACGTCCGCCGGGCATCGAACGGGGTCCTGTGACGCACGGAGTGGAGCTGGAGGGAGATCGGACACGAACGGAATAGGGGGAAGTAGAGAGGGGACGGGGAGTGCGTGAACAGAAGATAATGCGTACAGTGAGGCCAATTCGCTGTGGAGATCATAGTTCATGCATCGTCTGTCAAATGACGAACTTGAATCGTCACATCCCAGAATATCACAGCAACTTTTCGGTGAGCTTGGTCCGTTGTTTTTTATTGGCTGAATGTCGCCGACATTTGCCCGAATGTGATTTCGATGATAAATCAATCGGGCTGTGTTGTATCAGCGCTATTTGGTGATCAATAACATACGGTGCCATCCAATGGAAAATGCCAATATGTGGACCTTTGCATTTTTGAACAAAATGCTTCACTGTTCTCTATCAATGAAGAATATGGTGCACCACCATAGTGGTGGGCGGTGGGCGGTATACGCCGCCGCCGCGGCGGCGGCGTGTATACCGCCCACCGCCCACCCGGAGGCCCTGCCGCCCGGTTTATTATTGGTATCGGTGCTGCGCCATGTCGGAGCCATTAGCAGAGACGTACCGACGCCATCGGCGGTTCCTGGGGGGGGGGGGGGGGGGGGGTAACGGATGGGTGGATCGGGCCGCTCAGTACGTGTTACCCTGGGCAGGGCGACGATACTAACTGATGGATGATCATTGGTCTGTTAGGCAAATTGAGCGCAGCCGGGCAGCTGGTGTTCCCTTACTCATGGTGGTGGTAAACGCCTGTATCATATATGCAATGCGCCTACTCGCTATGCACAGTGCATGCTTATTTATGACATGGCATCACTGCGGTTCACTTGCTTTTATGACTGCTTGTGGTCCCCTAAATCCCATCTCCGTTTTAGCCGTTTTCGGCTTGTAAAATGATTCAAATTCTGTTTTGCGCTTTACAGTAGTTTCCACATTCCCATGCATTTTTCATGAATTCAGCAATGCTTGCGAGCAATGGTTCCAGTAAGCCAGCGCTTGGCATTTTAGTACCTCATTGCACGAGCATTCCATTCCAGGTCCCCCTCCTCTCCTCCCCTCCCCTCCCTGACCTGACCTGACCCGATGGTGGCAGCTGGAAGCCCCCTCTGTTATCTTTGGACGCCCCTGACAGTTCAATGATCTCAGTACCACCACTGGTGGCGGCGGCATGTCCTTTGATCTTCCGATCATGACCGGCGAAACAGGGTGGGTGCCGGCCTCTGTTTATCTTTAGGGGAGGCAGGTGCGCAATGAAGGACGAGGGGAAAAATTGTCATCTGTATAAACAATTAAACAAACTACCTACATGATGTCGACATAACTCGCTGACGTGGACTTATGCTTACGCAGGTTACGCTCCTTTTTTTAATTTGCTCGGACTTGAATATCTATCGCATCTCGGCGGGTGCACGCAAATAATTACGGAGCGAGCGAAGCGAGCGGAGTCTTACGTAGAACGGCCGGCCGGCCGTGGTCACGATTTTGCGACGCTTATATCTCAGCAACCACTTGACCGATTTACATGCGGTAATTTTTGTAGGGTAGTTTCATTCCTTTTACCAAGTATTGGACTATTCCTGATGCATGTGGGTGACCCCTTATGCACGTGCCACGTGCAAAACGAAGAGGTGTCACTTTTGTAATTGTTGCAATATCTCGGTAACTACTTGGCCGATTGCGCTGAAAGTTGGCATGCAGGTAGGCACCCACTAGGCAATGCATATCCATGTGCCGGAGTTGGGGTGCTGCTGCACGTGCGCACGTGCAGGGGTCGATTCCAGATCTCGAGAACGGCTGGACCGATGGCGCTCAAATTTGGTACATGGCTAGGGACCGGTTAGTAGGGTGCCGTGCAAAAGTCAGTTGGGACCCATTTTGCACGTGCGCACGTGCAGGGTGCCGCTTCCAGACCTCGAGAACGGCTGGGCCGATTGTGCTCAAATTTGGCACATCGCTAGAGACCGGTTAGTAGGGTGCCTTGCACAAGTCAGCTGGAGGTACCCCGTCGAAATTTCGCACGTGCAAGGCTCACCCTCTCGCTCGCTCCGTTAGTCGCCCCAAAAGGCGTTATACTGGTGTAAAAAAGAGTCACTTTTATTACCATTACCTCGCTAGTCGCTTGACTACCTCGCTTGGTGATTTGTGGGATCCACGCGTCCCGGGGCCCTTCCAATGACATCCTAGGCTCACAGTATTCTGGGTGGTATGAACAGTGAACACTGCTAGCCTTCGCCCCAGTGGGGGGGGGGCATATGTTACCACCCTGTCGCGTTTTTTTGCGTGTGAATAAAAAACCGCGGCGCGTAGCGCCGCGCCGCCTGGGGTAGCTTTTGGTACATCAATTTTGGACAATGTGTGAAATTTTTGACCCCAGGTCATGTCAGGTCAGGTCACCAGGTCAAGTTAACTGACCAAGCCTAAAAAGAAAGTTTGCAATCATGTCCAGTCTGCAGTGTTTGTCAGAAAGGTTTCAAACTTGGTGGATTCCATGCTGTTATGGGCGCCTACAATTTGTATATCTCGGATTTTTTTATATCCGTGACCAAGGCCAGGTCAGTGGCGTGACCTTTCCATTACAAGTCAATGGAGAAAAATGAAAATGCCTCTAGATCCGTGTGTACGCATAGGAACAGTCCAAATATTTCAGAATCACAATGACTTAGTCCACTCGTGATGACCAAGGTGTCATTTTTGCTGATAGCCTCTAGAAAGGTCATCCGAGGTCATTTGAGGCTACACAGTTTTTTGCCCATAACTCGCGATTGGAAAGAGATAGAACGCTGGGGTTGGTCTCATTGTGTTTGTCTTGTTGAGACGCATCTACTGATATGCAACATGACCTTTTCCGGTCAGGTCATGACCTTGACCTGAGGTCAAATTTTCAAGTTGACCTTTCAAGGTCAAATTATAGTTCATTCGACGCGTCTCGGCGAGAGGAACACGATTCTAGCAATATAAATGTCGTGGCTTTTTGAAGTCGAAAGTTATTGTCGAAAATCACTTTTGGTAAAAACAGCTATTTTTGGAGTTTTTGCCCTCTGGAGGCTAAACCGTTGACCTGAGGGCAATATTGATAATGACCTTTTCAAAAGAAGAGTTCAAAAGCTATTGATTGCTGTTCCATGCGTTTTTCTAGCTACCATAGTTCCTGAGATAGCGGCATGTTTTTTGAAAAATATAATGACGATTGGCAAATTTTGACCTTTGATGACCTCTGGTGACCCCAGTATTGCCCTAAGGTGAAAAATGAGGTTCAAACGTACGCATTGAGAGCTATCGACTGCATTTTACCGCGTCTTTCTAGCCCTCTTAGTTTTTGAGTTAGAGGTGGGTGGTAACATATGCCCCCCCCCCCCCCGCCCCCCACTAGGGCGAAGTTGGCTGAGACCGCCACTGGGGCGCGGGCAAGGCACGCCACGGTTGCTAGCGCGCCGGTGCCGTCGCTAACGCGTCTCCGCTCTGTCATGCGTGGCTGGTCAGGCGATCTGACCATCTCTATTCTCCCTGATGACCCTGATGACCCCACGCCTGACTACTCAGCTAATGACTCCGGTGTCCCGGTCATGACCCCCTGGTGGTGACCACCTCCCCCGGCGACGTGCGGGGGGTCAGAGGTCAGGCTGACCTAGCAGCAAACCTTATGGAAGGAAACAGAGCAATGACAGAAAACTGTTATGGTAGGGGCAGTTTTGCAATGAATGAAATATTATTTGGTGAGATGCGATAAAATTTTGTAGCTTATCATAATCTCCGTTGTGTGACCTGCGGATGACGTAACCACTCCTCGTCTGTGACCCAGCGCTGTTTGACCTCAGCTGACCTCTGACCTCGTCTGTGTGTTTCAGTCCGATGCCAGCTCCAGCTTCCTGCGGGCAGCTAGGGGCGGCAACCTGGACAAGGTTCTCGACTATATCAAGAACGGCACAGACATCAACACATGTAACCAGGTGAGAGAGCGAGGGATACAGTGGCGCGGGAACTTCTTCCAGACTGGGGGGGGGGGGCTGAACCATAATAGAAATCAACCTACGGTACCCCCAAATCTAGTTTTCTCACCGGTTTTAGGCCACTTATTTTTCAGACCTTGGCCTTTTCAACAACAAAAAAAAAAAACAGACACACACACACGAAAATATTTTCATAAAGTGAGGTATTCCGTCTCAGCTGAGTGAAGAAACTACCGTTTTGGCAGCCTGGAGTAAAGGTATTAATCTGCCAAATGAGTTGCCGAGCCAGTGAAATAGGTGGATTTTTCACTTACATGCTTTCTTCCTTTGTGACCCACAACCCCTAATTTGGGGAGGACAAGCTGCCCAACGGTTCCTGGCCTCATGAAACGTTGTGGGGCACCGCCCCCACGGCCGCAGAGTTGTGGGGGCAAGCTTCCCCCACTGCCCCCTCCCCCGGTTCCCGCGCCTATGTATGAATCTATGAAATTATGTTGGTAGATTTCCGATTTCGATTCCTCCAGCTGGGGGGGGGGGGGGCTCAAATACATTACGAGCCCCCCACCCGAAAAGCTGGGGGGGGGGGGCTCAGCCCCCGCTAGTCCCCCGGTTCCCGCGCCACTGGAGGGATATATCTACTGTGGAGGGAGGGGAACCGCAGCAGGGGGTGAAACGGGAGGACTAGCTGACTTAGAACTCTGTAGAAACGTGCAGAGATTGGGAGGGAATTTGGATCGATGCTTGGTGTAGCTTGGAACAAACGAAGAAGCTTTGATCCCGAGAAGATTGTGTCTAGAGTAGGTAAACGTTTTATGGACATAAATCTGCTGAAAGTTTTTTTGGGTCAAAAATGCCTTTTCAGTGCAGATAGTAAACTTTGATCGTAACCATCCTTTTCATTCGCTAGTCATTGAACCTACGGCAATATGTCCTCAGTCCTGTGATATCCGGCCGTCGCGATTCCGTCCGATCCCATTCAATCTGTGTGCCCGCCGGTAGATAGCTGAGTCACGTCTGTTTTCTAATGGGACTGATTGGTGCCTGCAGTGGTTCGGTGACGGGTCAGCTGGCAGTGGTTTAGGCACCAGCCATCACTGACAGGTCTCTCAGTGAACAGAACAAGCAGGCGCGCTGGCCATTGGTCCAGCCCCGGTCAGCGCTGACTCACAGTGAACAACAAATGCGCGGTGTACTGACCATTAGCCATTGGTCCAGCACCGGTGGGCGCTGAAATACTTAGTGAACAGAACACGCGTGGTGTGCTGACGGAATAGACCGCGAACTAATTGTGTGCGCCTTGAATTCAGCTCGATTTGTGGACGATGGAGGCGGCCGCCATTAGAGCAGCGCCATCAATCTAAGGACCAACCGCGTTAGCGAAACAGGCCTCCCGGGAGGCACGCTGGTTTTCGGCTGCGTAAAGTTGGCTGAAAGTGAAACCGTGACAGCTTGCTATTGGGCTGTTAATTTCAGTTCAAGTGACTAAAATTGCAAGAAGTGGTTTAAAAGACGTATTTTTCCCTGCTTTTCATCTGCACCTCAACGATAACCAGCTTTGTTGACAAATCAGTGCCATTTTTTCCTGGCCGGGCGTTACGTGTTGGTTATTTTCGTCTCGCCTGAGGCGTATCCTGCGACCTTCAGTGACCCGTCCCCCCGGCCTGGGTGGGGGAGGGGAGGGGGAGGGGCTCTATTGAACCCGCCGTCAGGTGCGGGCGCGTGCCGCGGCCACAAGGTCGGCCCGCCGTCCAGTCGGAGGTCACGCCCTGCGGGCACTGGGTTCACGCCCCGCAGACACTCGGGTCACGCCCCGCGGCTGAGGGGTGGGACGGAGTGGAAATTAGTGAGGTGTCCGGGTCACGATGTGCCGAGAGCCTGACCCGGATTTTAGCAGCCTGTGATATAAAAATGGCATTTTAATTTCTTTGATAGCAATCGATGTTTCTTTTTTGATCAGTGATGTTCATAAGCATTAGACAAGAAACGACTGGAGTCTTTAACGAACCTTGTCATCGGCTTCCATCTACCGGGTGTCCCAAAAGTAAGGTCATCATTTGTTTTGGCCACACTGCCAAAAATACGCGATGGATAGATATAAATAGGACATCATATGAAACAGCATTTTATAAAATTTTATTCTGACATACATATAAGTCAATACATTGGCTCGTAGCCCCACATTTGCTGCTTTTCTACATGGCTACCATTTCGGGCCGCGTGCATGAATAGACTACGTTTGACTTCCTCCACTATTCTGGAGCGATTCTCTGGTGAGATGCCGCCTATGTTTGCTCGAAGAGGTCATTATTTAGTTCTTCCCGGCTCGTTGGGTTGTCCTGAAAGACAATCTTTCTGTTGTGTATCCAGAGAATAAAAATATGAAGGTGTAACGTCAGGTGACCGCGGAGGCCATTCAATGGCGTTGCCCTGACTGAAAATTACGGGATCTCACATCCACTCTCGGAGACAATGCATGATCTTCAGGACGGTGCAAGCATAGTCTCCATCCTGCTGAAACCACTGCTGGCTGATGGTGTCGGCACAGCTGCGTTGCGACGAGCGGAAGAACCACTGGGAGGACTCTCGGGCCTCGGCCACCTCTCTTGATTTATTGTCACCCGATTCCCGCTGTCGTCCTCAGGACCTCGAAGCACAGGTGACTAAGTATACATGCCCTGTGCGTACATTATACCTTTTTTTCTGACGTTTTACCGGTTGAGGCGAAACTATGCATGAGTTCAGAGATAGGGCGAGCTGATAGGGTCTGCTTAGGGCCGAAAACTGGGCGATATTTACCCTTTGTTTTAATGACGGACCCTCTCTAAGAGTTGAATTTCGACCTTCTCAGTTTTATGCCTACTGCTCGGTGTAGTTATGATCAAAAATGGTTTAAGCATGCAAGAAAATAATTTTATGGATGTACCTTGCACGTGTTAAAATTGGAAGTGATTCGGACTCTTACTTCTCGAGATATTTAAGTTTTAAATCATGACCTTACTTTTGGGACACCCGGTACTAATAATGCTTTGTGATAATAATTTACTCTTCTTGGCGTTATTCATTTCACTGATTGCTCATTTTACGATTCCTTTTTGTTATGCTATCTCCCTATTTAATATTTTTTTCGAGGTAGTGTAATTTATCAGACTGGAGCTGCTATTGTTTCTCGATTCCAATCAAAATCTTCTCAGCCGTTTCAAAACGTATTCCTTTTTTACGGATAGGACACACTCGGTGACGCCGGGCCGCTCAGTTTCCCGCTATCGCTCTTTTACACGCCATCCCGCGGCTCTATTCGGCCATCGCTCACCCCCGACCCGACCGTCTCCGCCGTCCGATCGGTCGCTGCCCCAGCATTGTTTGCTCAGATCGGGTTTCGATCAGCGCAATTACGGCGATCGGCGGCGTCTGTGGCGCGGCGGTGGCGTCCGTGGCGCGGCGGAGGCGTTGGCGCGATCGATGCGCGCTGCCATGACGGCTGTCCTCTTAAAGGGTTCCTGAATCCCGAGAGGGGGAGTTGGGAGGTGGCCTAGACGGCAGGGTTGTGCTCGACTAAAAAAAAAAATTGCCGACTCGACTCATCAGTCATCAGTCAAGTGAGTTGACTCAAAATTGACTTAGATAAAAAAGTTGTTGAGCGGGGGCGGGGATGAAAAAAAAATCCGGCAGCAGGGCCAGGGCGAAGTTGTTAAGTGTGTGGGGGGGGGGGAATGAAAAGCTCGTTTCTAGAAAGTTGAGTCAGCTGACTCATGTTCCTAAATGTTTGACTCAACTCAATGTCAAAAGTTATTTTACTGACTCAACTCTGACTCAACTTAACGCCTTAATATTTTTGTCCGACTCAACTCTGACTCAACTCAACAGCTCAACATTTTATCCGACTCGTCTCAAATCTGACTCATTTGAGTCAGAGTTGAGTCAAATTTCTGACTCGACTCATGAGTCGAGCACAACCCTGCTAGACGGAGCCTCCAAAAGGCTGAACTGTGTCTGTTATTGCCAGTTTCAGTTCTTGGTCGTTGGTAGTTTTAAGGCAGATAATTTGTGATTTATTTACTTTCTAGCTATTTCGTCGCGACCACTCCCGTTTTATTGTTCATAGGTGTGTTGATGAATTTTTTAGTACCTAATATGTTTGTGTTTGTTTTTTTGGAGACATCTTTTTAGCCATTGGGGGCGTAACACACCTTCAATTAGGGGGGAGGGGGGCTGCCGACTTTTGGTCCAATCCTTTCCATGCAACGCCCATAGGGCTGATGTTAAAATGCGTGAATCAAAGTAAATCAAACTCCGTTCCGCCGCCCATGTTTTTAGCGGAAACTACCTTCAGTAACATTATAATTATATGAAATAGACATCACTTTATAGGACATGAAGACACTAGCGATACGCTTTTCATGATTACCTGCAGTAATAAGCTTCTGATTGACGTTATGGCGTTGGCTATGTATTTAGTGTGCAGTGTGCAGTTTGCACTCTGCAGGGGATCAGACTCTGCAATTAGGTAGATGGGATAGGGATTGTGGCTGATTGGTGGATAGCGGTTATATAAATAAGTTAAATGACAGATCAGGGCCTGTTGACGAGCCAGGAGGTAGGACCGCTGACTTCATAACTGCGGGTTTCTGTTCAGAGATTCGCTAATCCATTTGTATAGCTGCTGAATCGTGATTGTGTCATTCCGGAATGACGTCAAAGCTGACATAACTTTGCTAAATGACCGTTTATGTCTGCTTTATATGTCATAAATCGTATTCATAGTGGTGTATTCTGAAATATAACTGCAGAGTTTGCGTTGTCTTGAACTCATCGCTCACTGAAAACGACTTTCCTGAGTAGACTGGCAATGTTTGTCTTATTTTACCCGATCTTTACCGTATTTTATATGCCGCACTTTTGCGTCCATGCCCTTACTCAGCGCCTTTCATATGCCGTTAAGTGAAAACACCCGAACCCTGTCTTCCTTATTTCGCTTCGTGATGACTTTTCCTGACTTCTGCCTACATTGACCGCCCACGAAATACCCAGCCGTCATACGTCTAAATCCTGCCTTTTTTGTATGACCTGACCTGACTGTGTTGTTTGTGTGTGTGTTTTCAGAACGGTCTAAACGCACTCCACCTGGCCAGCAAGGAAGGTCACGGCCACATCGTCAGTGAACTGCTCAGCAGAGGGGCAAATGTTGACGCAGTCACCAAAAAGGGCAACTCGGCCCTGCATGTGGCCTCCCTCGGTGAGAATCCCCCCTCCCTCCCCCCCCCCCCAGAGCGCTATTATATGTGTTTGCTATAGGCAGGGGAGGAAGGGCAATGTGGGTGTGATGGTGATGCTTTTCGAAAGATTATAAGAGAGGAAGCTCAAAAGTAAAGTTTGATTCAAGTTTTCGGGGCTGTTCATCGCGTTACGTTTCGGTTTCATTGTACCATTGCTCTAAACGATAAGGAACCTGCTTTTGATAAAGTGAATCTATTTGCATCGCTAAAAACATGCATTGTGTGAACAGTTCCACACAGCGCTCGCAGTATAGCACCGGCTCCATTACCAGCCGTTTGACCTCCCCGGCTCATCAGCTCGTTCCGGCCCGCCCTCCCCCCTCGGCCCACTGTGGGCATTTCATTCATCAGAGTGGCTGTAACCTTTGCTGCACGCAGCTATGCAGCTCTGCTGTGTGTGACCTTGACAGTCCCAGTCGGTCTGCTGGAACATCTGAGACAGAAGTCCTGCGTGTACGGGCGGGGCTGGAAAAATGTGCTTGGTTTTGTATTTGGTGCGATATCTATTCCACTTTATCGGACAGATTGACTCATTTCTGTCTAGTATTCTAAATATTGGATTGAATCAGTTCATTTTCTTATTGTTGAGGCTCGCCATAAGCCGTGATTGCTAAGTCCGTTCCCCGACATCCGAGTACGAGTATTTCAGTGCAGTGCGCGGCGGATAAGTTCACTCTCGCCCCAGCTGCCCTTGCCCACCTCATAGTTCCCCCGTCCCTGACCGGAGGCCTGTTCCGCGTCTCTGACACCGCGTTATTCACGTGTTTATTACACCAATCACTGGTGTGCTCTGGAATAACTAGAACGCCGGGAGTGGCTCATTTGTGGTTGTTTATGCGAGATACACGCGTGTTATGATTATAATCCCGCCTCCTGATTAGGTTTGGGAGGGAGCACATTAGTCTAATGATGATTCAGGACCGTTACAGATTCTTGATAAGTTATCTGTAACAAGATTCAAAGTATGGGTGCTGTCCAAGGCTCCAAATCTAATTAGGTGCTATCATCTATGGCTATCATACAGAACTCTAGTTTATCTTTTGCGGGCACTGGAAATGTTCATTGTTTGGCTTCTGTTATTCAACGAAAATGAACTGAACTGAAAAATTGAACGACAGTTATGTTGCGTCAATGAAAAAATTTTCAATGGAAGTTCAATGCGAACTTTCTATCAATGCATAAATCATTTAGTTTTGTTTGCTTTTTGGCATTTGAAGCACTGTCTGACTGTCAGGTCCCAGGTAGAAACATTTTACAACTAGATGTCGTGTTTTGAAAAAGCCAGATCATGAGCTGCGCCTTGCGGCCATATGAGGTAATAGGTAACCTGTTTTTTATTACTACGGTACAGAGGGAGGGGTTTAGGTGAAGGTTCGCCATGGTTTGTGGGACAGCGGGGACTGGGGAGGTCGGGTGCGTCACTGCCGGTGCCCAGTCGGTTTATTTTGATTGACGCCGCGGTCATTTGGCAAATGACGCGCTTGGCCCGGGTCAGGGGACATCGTTACTTGCAGCGAGGACCTCGTGACTTGCAGCAAGGACGTCGTGACTTGCAGCGAGGAATGGGAGGGATTTAGAGGGACATGGGGGCGAATAGAGGGAGCGACGAATAGTTAGGACGCGTCACTGACAAGTGACGCCCTACTCCATGTTCTGTTAGGTTATCCTGTCATGTGATCAGTGACGTAGACGGAGTGGGCGGAGTATCGTGTTTTCTGAAGATGTCTGATTGATGGACCTCCCCTGGGTGAGCCGAACCCGCCAAGACCCCTTTGAGGCCATGTTTGTTAGTGTCGCTTGGTGCACTTCACGTGATGTTGCTATGAGAGGCGGGCGAGCCAACGGACGCGCAGTCGAAGCGTGATGCTGGAAGGATGCAGATGGCTGCCAAGGTGAATCGGGATAAAAAAGACAGCTTACCTTATATGAAGCTGTCACAAAAATATATTACGGTTGGGTCGAAATTTTTCCTCCCTCTTTTGTGCGCCTTATTCCCCTTCTGTCCGTTTGACTACTCCCCCCCCCCCCGTCTTCAGCCGGTTAGGAGTGGATAGTCCGTATGACTCCCCTCCCCTTCCCCTGTTTCCAGCTGGGAGGAGAAAGGCCGTCTGACTCCTCTCCCGCCCCTGTGTGACTCTCCATTCGCCTTTTTCAGCCGGCCAGGAGGAGATTGTCCGTCTGCTGGTGCAGGCGGGCGCCAACGTGAACGCCCAGAGTCAGAATGGCTTCACGCCGCTGTACATGGCGGCTCAGGAGAACCACGACGCCGTGGTGCGGTACCTGCTGGCCAACGGAGCCAACCAGAGCATCGCCACAGAGGTGAGACAGACACTGAGACAGACACTGAGACACTGAGACAGCGAGACAGTACACTGGCCAACGGAGCCAACCAGAGCATCGCCACGGAGGTGAGACTACGAGACACTGAGACACTGAGACAGTGAGACAGCACACTGGCCAACGGCGCCAACTGCAGAGCATCGCCGAGGAGGTGAGGCATTGAGACAAACACTGACACACTGAGACACTGACTGAGACACTGAGACACTGAGACTCTTATAAGCACGTGAGCGAAAAGCACGGACATTCAGATGAAAAACTTCGAGACGAAGGGTTACAGTCGGTAGGAGTCGAACACAACTCACATACGAATGCACTGTGCGGTCATTGGCAAACACACGACCATCCGTGTTTCACAGAAGGCCGAAGCATGGCAGTACTAAAACTCAGCTTTTGTGCGCCCGTAGGCATCAGTTTCATTTTCCTGTCGCTTTCTCTGCGCGTCTCGCCACCCCTGCGTCGTTTGTTTTCCACTAGAGTCGGACCTAACGGGAGATTTCCCTGGAGGCTGGAACAGCGACGGTCTTTCCCCAGTGGAGGTATTCGCGCCCTCTCCCCAATGGAACTATCCCAGCCCTCTCACCAGAGCAGGTATTTGATGGTACGGCCGTGCGGACCTTATCGTGTATGCAGCTCCTGTCTGGTAGCTCCGCTGTCGCATTTGGCAGCCGTGTCGGAGTGCCAAACGGTGCTGCCAGATGAGGTAATGGGGCAGGGAGGCGGTGGTGGCGGGCTGGAGAACAAATAAACCGGCCGACGCTGCAGATAGTTCCGCCGGGGGGGGGGAGGTGGGGGTAGTGCAAGGACAGCGCTCTGCACGTATTGAGGTGTGTGGTCGAACTGCCCATGACAGCCGTTGGTAGGAGACGCTCCTGACCCGCCCCAGGAATGAATTGGTGGCCCAGTATCGCAAGAAATAATACCAGTGTTATCGCTCTCAAACTTCACCCAAAATCCCCTCTCTTAACACGACACTAGTGTCGCGCATTTCCTAGTGCTTGTTTATCCTCCCCGGTCTCTTATCTCTCGTCCCATTTCCCTCATTAGCGTCTCATTATTCCCGTCTATCCCCCATTTTCCTCGCTCCACGTGCCCTGATTGCCGTCGGTCGCGGACCACAATCGATGTGCATCGCCATGCTGCCCCGCTCTGACCAATCTGAGCAGTTCCCTCCGGGGAGGACAGAGCAACGGCCTGGCGAGAGAGGAGAGAGGCAGATGGCAGGGAGAGCAGGGAGTGGGGCAGCACTGACTGGGTTGTTGTGGATTTTCCGTAGTCCTGGATAAGTTAGCTTTCATCTTATATGCTCGACTGCCTGCAAACTGTAATCAATCCCTGTCCAGCTTCCTGTCCCGAACTTCCGAGGTAATCGGGATGTGCTCTATGTAGATCAGCACTGCTCTCTGGCCTTCTTCTCTCTCTCCGTCTCTCTCTCTCTCGCTCTCTCTCCCCCCTCTCTCTCTCTCTCTGTCTCTCTCTCTCTGTCTCTCTCTCTCTCCTCTCTCTCTCTCTCTTTCTCTCTCTCTCTCTCTCTCTCTCCTCTCTCCTCTCTCTCTCGCTCTCCTCTCTCTCTCTCTCTCTCTCTCCTCCCCGCCCAGCCCCCCTCATCAGTGCCAGAGCACACACTCGAGGCGCTCGTCTTGGGGCGGTCATCTCCGCCACTGCCACTGCCGCCGGCCAGCGCCAATACAGACCCGGGTCAATACAGACCCGGCGGCTGCTGGGGCAACCGCGGCCCTGTGTGGCCTGTGAGGAGGATTTGTGAAGAGTTACCTTGGATAGGAATGTCACCAGTCTCGCATAGCCCTCGGAGGTATCATTGAAAGGACAGACTGACTGCCGGGCGGCGCGTTTCAGCCCCAGTCACTGCCCCCGCCCCAGACTCTGTGTTCTGCCGAGGTTGGCTGTTTATCGGCCGCCGACGGACAGGCCTGTGACGGCCCTTTGACGGACGTGACGGACGTGACGGACGTGACGGCCGTGATCCGTCACGTACCGTACGCTCGACCCGGCGACTGTTTGCGCCCGCCGTGTGTGCTGATAGTGAGTCAGGGTCTGCGTCTGGCGCTGATCTTTCTGACGTCAGGGAAAAGGCAAACGGCTGAACACCGTACATTCACGTAGCTCTATCAATCCATTGTTTCAGAATGAGACAGCTATTGAAAACAAGAGGCCTTTGCATATCCTTATTCTCTATAGGCACCAGTGCTTCCACTGTCCTAGCGTCAAGCCATTCATTCACCAACTAAAACATCTCAAGAACCGCGTTCGTTCCATCGCGCACGTCATCACTTCACGGTCCGACTCAGATCACGTAGCGTAGATCACGTAGCTAGCTGCTCTATCCCGTATCCGTCGGTCCGGAGTACTGTACCATCCGGACGGACTGGCTCCACGGATGGCTGTCGTTACCCGATGCTGCAGACTTCCCGGCCCGCTGGAGAGACCCCGGCACAGAACCGTTCTCTTGGAATGGACCACCACCCACCCAGCGCCGTCGGTACCGGCACTTGGTCTGATTGGATGTGGGCGGAACTGACCGCCTGTATTACCGCCGCCATGTTACCACCGCAGTGTTACCGCCGCCTCTGGTAACAAAGTCTGACAGGGTGTGACTTGGTGTCCGCTGCTGATACTGCCGCCGTTACCTCCGCTGTTAGCCTGGACACGGTGTTTGACTTGTTGTCCGCCTCTGGCTAAATGACCGTCACTGTTCCGCCTCTGGCTACACGGAGCGATTGTGTCCCTGATTGCGGCCGACCGGCCATACAGCCGACGAGAGCTGACCGGAACGGTGGTGATTGAGGGGAATGGGGAAGGATGGAGACACGAGCCTGGACCAGGGGCGTGACACTGTGTGCGCCGACACGGGAAACTTATAACAGTTTGCATCTGTGAACGAAATTTAATTGGGCAGGAGATACGGAGCGTGTGGGCCCCTGAGTAAAGCGCTCATCTCCCATGTGCGCTGCATAATTGGCTCATAAATCATGGTGGCGCACACATGACTAAAATAGCCACAGTTTTATGAACCCAGTTGATATTACCATAAGATTCTCTGAAACACACATCACGAGAGGCCTTTCACGGCTGCTATTTTAGCGTGCAGCACGAGGTGTCGGGTCACGGACAGTCCCTGGTAACAGAGACCACACCTGGGCGTTACCGGGCGGGGCGGGGCGGTTAATAATTCAGCAGCAGCAGCACCGCCCACCGCCCGGTGGTTTAGCGCTGGTAGCGCGACCTTTGAGCTCCGGGGTGACCTGGACCTCTGACCTCCGGGGTGACCTGGGCCGCGCGACCTCTGACATCCGGGGTGACCGGGGCCGCGCGACCTCCGACCTCCGGGGTGACCTGGGCCTCGTGAACTGGGCCTGAGGAGTTGGGACTTTGATCCCCGCTATTGGCGCCGATCAAATGGGTCAAAACCAACACTCCATTTTTGGCTCACAACCCAATATTATTCCCAGAACGGTCCCAGAATGTGCAGCTCTGAACCGTCGCCTTCTGCCGTCTGAGTCGTTTCCAGGCGGAGCCATGCCGTACCATTTACCGTGGACATCCATTTGTCAGCAGTTGGTACAATTCAGAGCGGCTTTGTCAGAAATTCCATCAGCGCCACGACCGCCCTGACCAGCCAGCATACATAGGATCATCATCAGGATCTCACGGAGCTAACAGGGCGGGAATTGGATGGCCCGGAGAAGCGACCGGGAAATAGGTGACCGGTCACGGCGGAATCATTCCAAACGAAATTACCTACCTGGCAGGCTTGATGTTTCTTCTCTCGTTTTGCTCATCCGGCAGTTACACTTCATGCTCGATGACCACTTTACTTGCGACAACGAAAATTGGCCGGTTTTCACAGATGGCATCGGCAGAAAGTTCCATTTACCGTAGATTACCGAAGCAATAGACGACTTATAAAGTTCCCGATAGATGGCAGCAGGGGTCGGCGCCTGGAAGCATACTGTGCCGCAAGACAACGCACTCTCAGACAGCGTAATACGGGCGAGTGGAATGATGAGCCAGGATAGAGAATAAATAAGAATGGTCTAGTGAATGTAGATTGTGGACAAATGGTTTTGGTAACATTCTGACAATATTTGACACGTTCGGCTGTCGTCTACAGAGGACTTTCCTGTGTCTCCCATGTGTCTAGGGTTGAAACCTCAGCGTTATCGCTCCTTCTGGTGGTCGATCCGCCCTCTAAATTATGCATTAGTGTCGCTGTCACCCGTTCGATAAGGTCCGGACATCAAAGCCGCCGCTGCCGGCCGGTGAGCTGTGTTCGAGACTGTACGGGCTGTCTGGGCAGCACTGTCGGAGACTGTACGGGGCGTGGTCGGTCGATGGGTTCCGTCCGGCCGGGACCGTTTATAGGGGGGGGGGGGGGGGGCACTGCTGGCACTGCTGGCCCGGCCGAGACATGCCGAGACGTACTGAGGCAGGGTGTAGGTAGGGTTAGGTGTACTGAGGCAGGTCCTGAGACTACCCATGGATATCTCTACATAGTAAAGGTAATTCCTCGAAATCGCGACACGGAAAAGACATTTCATCTGGAGGAATGACAACACAGCGAGACTCAAATGTTGACCCAGGGCGTGAATGCTTAGTGAGTTAACACTCATATGAGCATGAAACAGAAACGACTGAATATTAAAAAAGACGGATAGGACTTTCCTCTGGCCTCTCAAACCAGACGACCTTTGCAGGGTGAGGGGACGTTTCGGTCGCCGCGCTGCATGTATAGCGGGGGCGCAGCTGCCGTCGGCTCCGTCTGCCGTTTTATGCCGCCGAGGTAATGTGATATCCTGATGGCTTCCTCAGACGGCCGGGCGCCGCGGACGGACAATTTATATTAATGGCCGTACGGGACTGCTGTGTGCCGTCCAATCATCGAGCATGGAACTCTGGGCCAGTGACGTCACCGGTAGCTGACAGTGACGTCACGGGAAGCTGCTAGTGATGTCACACTGGTCAGATTCATATGGAGTCTTTGGTCAGAAGGAAAGGAAAGGTTGCTCAGGAGCTTGAAATATGTGAAAAGACATTGAGAGATTCATTGTGTCCGTTGTCCGCATACCAAGCGCACTAAGCAGTAAGCATAAAAACGCCTATAGAAACGCCGCCATCACTTATCAGCTGACAGAGCGGGAGGGTGATGTTAACCCCTCACAGGGGAGGGAGGGGGAGGGGACACCTGTGTGTCGCCACCCTCACCACCTGTGTCAGTGGGGAGGGAGGGGAAGGGGTGAACGGGAGGATAGGACGGCCTTGGGGCCGGCCGGATACAGGCCGATACACACATGCGTTAATGATCAGCGACACACATCGGTGCGCTGACCAACCAGGGCTTAGCCGCTTGCACATTAGCATTTCAAAATACACAGGCATTGTTTTTCATGCGCGTTTTCTAGTGTGCTTAAAGGTTAAAGCGATACAGCTGCTCTTGAAATCGTCTTCAACTTGATGCATCATTTCATGCATGTATGACTTGTCACGGCCTACCGACGGTGACACGTCGTGACCCGTGAGTACGAACCTTACCCCCGTCTGACCTCCCCTCTATCTCCGGGCGGTGACCTGCCCGAACCCCCGTCTGACCTCCCTGCCTCTGCTCTTCCCCAGGACGGGTTCACGCCACTGGCCGTGGCGCTCCAGCAGGGCCACGATAAGGTGGTGGCTGTCCTGCTCGAGAACGACACGCGCGGGAAGGTTCGGCTGCCGGCGCTGCACATTGCCGCCAAAAAGGACGACTGCAAGTCGGCCGTTCTACTGCTGCAGGTCCGTCCCGTCCCGGGTGAACGGCCACTCCAGGTCGTAGGAGGGTCGGCGACATCGGCGAGATTATTGAACGGGCGGGGGTGAAGTGATATTCGGAGTACAAATGGAATCATAGCATGGAGGAAGGAGGATTTTTTTTCAAGCTGCTATAGCTCTTGGAGTTATTACACTGTGGTGGCATACATACACCTACTCTAATAAAGGCATCGCTGTTATCAAACAAAAAGGCATCGCTGTTATGTTAAAAAGGCTGTTAAGGAACCGACTAAGGAACCGCTGTTAAAAAGGTATCGCTGTTATGTTATTATCATATCAGGCTGACTTTAATGATATAGCATGGCCTCCTGTCTGCATCTTTCAAACGTAATCGAATGACCACTGGCAACTTCACCTCTGATTTAACCCTGGCCAATGCGACCCTGACCTTTCCCCTGTGACCTGTCTCCGCAGAACGACCACAAGTCGGACGTGACGAGTAAGTCTGGTTTCACGCCGCTGCACATCGCGGCGCACTACGGCAACCAGAACATCGCCTCTCTGCTGCTTGACAAGGGCGCGGACATCAACTACATGGCCAAGGTGGGTAGGGTGGGGACTGGGAGGGGCATGTATGGTGTAGAGGGGCGCGGACATCAACTACATGGCCAAGGTGGGTATGGTGGGGGACTGGGAGGGGGATGTATGGTGTAGAGGGGCGCGGACATCAACTACATGGCCAAGGTGGGTAGGGTGGGGACTGGGAGGGGCATGTATGGTGTAGAGGGGCGCGGACATCAACTACATGGCCAAGGTGGGTATGGTGGGGGACTGGGAGGGGGTGTATGGTGTAGAGGGGCGCAGACATCAACATGGCCAAGGTGGGTAGGGTGGGGACTGGGAGGGGCATGTATGGTGTAGAGGGGCGCGGACATCAACTACATGGCCAAGGTGGGTAGGGTGGGGACTGGGAGGGGGGTGTATGGTGTAGAGGGGCGCGGACATCAACTACATGGCCAAGGTGGGTATGGTGGGGGACTGGGAGGGGGTGTATGGTGTAGAGGGGCGCGGACATCAACTACATGGCCAAGGTGGGTAGGGTGGGGGACTGGGAGGGGGATGTATGGTGTAGAGGGGCGCGGACATCAACTACATGGCCAAGGTGGGTAGGGTGGGGACTGGGAGGGGGGTGTATGGTGTAGAGGGGCGCGGACATCAACTACATGGCCAAGGTGGGTATGGTGGGGGACTGGGAGGGGGATGTATGGTGTAGAGGGGCGCGGACATCAACTACATGGCCAAGGTGGGTAGGGTGGGGGACTGGGAGGGGGATGTATGGTGTAGAGGGGCGCGGACATCAACTACATGGCCAAGGTGGGTAGGGTGGGGGACTGGGAGGGGGATGTATGGTGTAGAGGGGCGCGGACATCAAATACATGGCCAAGGTGGGTAGGGTGGGGGACTGGGAGGGGGATGTATGGTGTAGAGGGGCGCGGACATCAACTACATGGCCAAGGTGGGTAGGGTGGGGGACTGGGAGGGGGATGTATGGTGTAGAGGGGCGCGGACATCAACTACATGGCCAAGGTGGGTAGGGTGGGGACTGGGAGGGGGATGTATGGTGTAGAGGGGCGCGGACATCAACTACATGGCCAAGGTGGGTATGGTGGGGGACTGGGAGGGGGATGTATGGTGTAGAGGGGCGCGGACATCAAATACATGGCCAAGGTGGGTAGGGTGGGGGACTGGGAGGGGGATGTATGGTGTAGAGGGGCGCGGACATCAACTACATGGCCAAGGTGGGTATGATGGGGGAATGAAGGGGGATGTATGGTGTAGAGGGGCGCGGACATCAACTACATGGCCAAGGTGGGTATGGTGGGGGACTGGGAGGGGGATGTATGGTGTAGAGGGGCGCGGACATCAACTACATGGCCAAGGTGGGTATGGTGGGGGACTGGGAGGGGGATGTATGGTGTAGAGGGGCGCGGACATCAACTACATGGCCAAGGTGGGTATGGTGGGGGACTGGGAGGGGGATGTATGGTGTAGAGGGGCGCGGACATCAACATGGCCAAGGTGGGTATGGTGGGGGAATTAGAGGGGGATGTATGGTGTAGAGGGGCGCGGACATCAACTACATAGCCAAGGTGGGTAGGGTGGGGACTGGGAGGGGGATGTATGGTGTAGAGGGGCGCGGACATCAACTACATGGCCAAGGTGGGTATGGTGGGGGACTGGGAGGGGGATGTATGGTGTAGAGGGGCGCGGACATCAACTACATGGCCAAGGTGGGTAGGGTGGGGACTGGGAGGGGGATGTATGGGTAGAGGGCGCAGACATCAACTACATGGCCAAGGTGGGTAGGGTGGGGACTGGGAGGGGGATGTATGGTGTAGAGGGGCGCGGACATCAACTACATGGCCAAGGTGGGTATGGTGGGGAATGAGAGGGGGATGTATGGTGTAGAGGGGCGCGGACATCAACTACATGGCCAAGGTGGGTAGGGTGGGGACTGGGAGGGGGATGTATGGTGTAGAGGGGCGCGGACATCAACTACATGGCCAAGGTGGGTAGGGTGGGGACTGGGAGGGGGATATATGGTGTAGAGGGGCGCAGACATCAACATGGCCAAGGTGGGTAGGGTGGGGGACTGGGAGGGGGATGTATGGTGTAGAGGGGCGCGGACATCAACTACATGGCCAAGGTGGGTAGGGTGGGGGAATGAGAGGGGGATGTATGGTGTAGAGGGGCGCGGACATCAACTACATGGCCAAGGTGGGTAGGGTGGGGGACTGGGAGGGGGATGTATGGTGTAGAGGGGCGCGGACATCAACTACATGGCCAAGGTGGGTATGGTGGGGAATGAGAGGGATGCATGGTGTAGAGGGGCGCGGACATCAACTACATGGCCAAGGTGGGTAGGGTGGGGACTGGGAGGGGGATGTATGGTGTAGAGGGGCGCAGACATCAACATGGCCAAGGTGGGTAGGGTGGGGGACTGGGAGGGGATGTATGGTGTAGAGGGGCGCGGACATCAACTACATGGCCAAGGTGGGTAGGGTGGGGGAATGAGAGGGGGATGTATGGTGTAGAGGGGCGCGGACATCAACTACATGGCCAAGGTGGGTACGGTGGGGGAGTGAGAGGGGGAAGTATGGTGTAGAGGGGCGCGGACATCAACTACATGGCCAAGGTGGGTAGGGTGGGGGACTGGGAGGGGGATGTATGGTGTAGAGGGGCGCGGACATCAACTACATGGCCAAGGTGGGTATGGTGGGGGAATGAGAGGGGGTGTATGGTGTAGAGGGGCGCAGACATCAACTACATGGCCAAGGTGGGTATGGTGGGGGACTGGGAGGGGGATGTATGGTGTAGAGGGGCGCGGACATCAACTACATGGCCAAGGTGGGTAGGGTGGGGGACTGGGAGGGGGATGTATGGTGTAGAGGGGCGCGGACATCAACTACATGGCCAAGGTGGGTAGGGTGGGGGACTGGGAGGGGGATGTATGGGCGCGGACATCAACTACATGGCCAAGGTGGGTAGGGTGGGGGAATGAGAGGGGGATATGGTGTAGAGGGGCGCAGACATCAACTACATGGCCAAGGTGGGTATGGTGGGGGACTGGGAGGGGGATGTATGGTGTAGAGGGGCGCGGACATAAACTACATGGCCAAGGTGGGTAGGGTGGGGGACTGGGAGGGGGATGTATGGGCGCGACATCAACTACATGGCCAAGGTGGGTAGGGTGGGGGAATGAGAGGGGGATATGGTGTAGAGGGGCGCAGACATCAACTACATGGCCAAGGTGGGTATGGTGGGGGACTGGGAGGGGATGTATGGTGTAGAGGGGCGCGGACATCAACTACATGGCCAAGGTGGGTAGGGTGGGGGACTGGGAGGGGGGTGTATGGTGTAGAGGGGCGCGGACATCAACATGGCCAAGGTGGGTAGGGTGGGGGACTGGGAGGGGGATGTATGGGCGCGGACATCAACTACATGGCCAAGGTGGGTATGGTGGGGGAATGAGAGGGGGATATGGTGTAGAGGGGCGCAGACATCAACTACATGGCCAAGGTGGGTATGGTGGGGGACTGGGAGGGGGATGTATGGTGTAGAGGGGCGCGGACATCAACTACATGGCCAAGGTGGGTAGGGTGGGGGACTGGGAGGGGGGTGTATGGTGTAGAGGGGCGCGGACATCAACATGGCCAAGGTGGGTATGGTGGGGGACTGGGAGGGGGATGTATGGGCGCGGACATCAACTACATGGCCAAGGTGGGTATGGTGGGGGAATGAGAGGGGGATATGGTGTAGAGGGGCGCAGACATCAACTACATGGCCAAGGTGGGTAGGGTGGGGAACTGGGAGGGGATGTATGGGCGCGGACATCAACTACATGGCCAAGGTGGGTATGGTGGGGGACTGGGAGGGGGATGTATGGTGTAGAGGGGCGCGGGCATCAACTACATGGCCAAGGTGGGTATGGTGGGGGACTGGGAGGGGATGTATGGTGTAGAGGGGCGCAGACATCAACTATATGGCCAAGGTGGGTATGGTGGGGGAATGAGAGGGGGATATGGTGTAGAGGGGCGCGGACATCAACTACATGGCCAAGGTGGGTATGGTGGGGGACTGGGAGGGACTATGGGCCGCGGGACTGGGAGGGCACAGCGCGGAGTCTTCATATGTGTGATGCATATAGGGCAGGGTCAGATGATACGGGGAAGGGCTGTGAAACCGACGGTGGCTGGGTCACAAAACTGTATCGGTCTTGTCAAACGGTTCTACCCCATGTAACCGCTGTCGTCTCCCTGTCGTCTAATGATCTGTCTCTCTGTAACTGTGACTGCTTAGGTCGGTTCATCCTGTTGTAACTGCGGCCCGGCTGAATGACCCATCCCGTTGTAACTTTTGTCGTCTCGGTCCGGTCGGAAGGTCTCCCCATTGTAGATATTACCGTCTCGGCTCGGTCTGATGGTTTATCCTATCGTAACCCTGGCCGTCTCGGCAGTCGCACTATGTATCCATACTATTCCCAGCAGTGTGGCTGCGTTGTGTTTCGGCTATTGCTCCCAGTACCGCTGTGTGGCTGCGCTGTATCGTCCAGCATTCGTAGCAGACCCCGGACGCGCTGGGTGTTGTCCAGCACTCCTAGCAGAGCCCCGGCCGGCCTTGGCGGCCAGTCAGATACCGTTCTGTCTCCATTAGATGGTCAGGGCGGCACGACGCTGATGAGCGGCGGTGGGGTGGTTGGTGTGTGGTGGTGGTGGGAGGGGGGGGGGTGAAATTATGGGGTGCTAAGTGATGAGAAGTGAGTGGTGACTGGGGTTGTTTGTGAATCTAGAGGCAACTCACCAGGCACTGGAGGGGTTGTTGATGGGCTAGGAAGTGTATTATTGGTATCGTTTGCCTCGTTAGTGTGTAAGGCTGTGGCAGGCATGAATACCTCATAACATTTGTTCGTGCTATTTGGTCGACTTCAGGACCGTCCCTGCTGGATCAGTTGACTTATCGAGTCGCTCTTACGACTTTACAAGTTGTTCCAATTACCCTAATTGCTGAGTTGCGTGCATGAATCGCTTACGGCGTATGTGTACAATGATGTTCATTAGCGGAGTCTCATTACGCTATATCACCGTATCGGGGGTTACATCTGGAACAGAACACGCCGGTTTGTTTGATGGTGCAGCGGCCGATCAATCTCACCCCGGGTCGATGTCAGCTTTATCCACCTTTGGTCGATGGAAGCTGTAATACGTGCAACGAAATAAGCATGTTTTTCATACAGTTTTATGTTTGTTTGTATTTAGAAGTCAAATTGTTGTTTCGTGTCTGTATTGTGGTGCATATGACAGCTGTCTCCATCTGTCATGTCATGTCGCAGCATGTGATCTGTCTCATTGTCAAGCAACCTAAGCTCTCCCTCCCCAATCCCCATGTCGTTTCGAACACAACCTGCCCCCTTAGTGTCCGTTTCTCAGCACCCCTGACCTGACCCCCTCTGCTCCGTGTTTGTTTTCAGCACCACATCACGCCGTTGCACGTGGCCGCCAAGTGGGGGAAGGCCAATATGGTGACGCTGCTCTGTGAGCGCGGCGCCAACCAGGAGGCCAAGACGCGCGACGGCCTCACGCCGCTGCACTGCGGCGCGCGCAGCGGACACGAGAACGTCGTCGACCTGCTGCTCGAAAAGGGCGCCTTCATATCGGCCAAAACCAAGGTGAAAAGAGCTGAGCTGACCAGGGAGGATTGAGTGACTAATTGAGTTTATGTAGAGCTGACTGAGGGTAGCCCGTCCGAGGTCAGATGAAAATGCTGATTGCTGATTGTTACTTTGTTTGCCGTCGCTCATTTGGACCTTAGAAAAGGTCAGGTAGCACGATGTTGTGTAACTTGTTTTTCTGCCGAAACATTGTAAACCGTTGCTCGTTCGATTTTTTTTTCCGGCGTTATCCAAAGCGTTGGGTTATTAAACGATCTTTCTGTTCGAACGGGGTTTTCCCGCCGAATCAGCACTGCAATTGATTGTCACCTTCAGAGCTCGGACACCCTAATTTCGAGCTTGGGGTTGGGTTTATTTGGATAGGTCACCTTCAGAGCTCGAACACCCCTATTTCGAGCTTAGAGCTGGGTTTAATTGGAGAGGAGAGGAAAACATCTGGGAGAAATCGCTTACTTTTAGTTCGCTGTCAATCTGTGATCGCTTTTTGTCCCTTTTATGCTCCACGCGATGAGTATAATACCGGTATATTGACCTACTGCGCCCTGTCTGACCGTCCTCTGTCCGTGTTTCCCTCATTACAGCGGCCTGACGCCGTTGCACATGGCTGTGGGCGCACTCTGACTATTCTAACTGCCCGTGTTTCCCTCATTACAGAACGGTTTCACCCCGCTGCACATGGCTGTGTACTCGCCCTGACTGACCGTCCTCTTTCCGTCTGTTTTTCTCCCCAGAACGGTCTCACGCCGCTGCACATGGCGGCCCAGGGCGACCACGTGGACGCCGCCCGGATACTGTTCTACCACAAGGCGCCGGTCGATGACGTCACCGTCGACTACCTGACCGCCCTGCACGTGGCCGGTACGGAGAGAGTGGGGAAAGCCGAGGGAGGAGTGGGGATAGGGACTGTCTTTGGAATAATTGGGCGACCATTTTTTTCATTTTGAACAGACAAGAATGATTTGACAAGCAGGGGAACTCCATGTGAAACCTGACTGTACTGAGTCATGCCATGAGTGACATCACCTAATGTACATACCTGCACGTTCACAGTTGGCAATATCTCAGCTTTCCACCTTCCCTGTGATGACCTATCTTCCTTGCCTCATCTCGCTGTAATCGTTTGTTGAATTGAATCTCTCCCATCTCGCTATAGCTTCAGTCACCATCTCTCCCTGTCTCTCCCAACACACCATAACCAACCTCCCCTTGTCTCTCCGTCAGCGCACTGCGGCCACGTGAAGGTGGCCAAGCTGCTGCTGGACCGTCACGCGGACGCCAACTCCCGGGCGCTGAACGGCTTCACGCCGCTCCACATCGCCTGCAAGAAGAACCGCATCGAGGTGGTGGAGCTGCTGCTGAAGTACGGCGCCAGCATCGAGGCCACCACCGAGGTCAGTCAGAGCGGAGGGTGTAAATAGGGGGACAGAGGTCACGTCTTAGAGGAGGGAGTGAAGGGTGGGGTGCTGAGGGGTCGGAACGGCGACGAGTGCGGTGCGGTGTTCTTACATAAGCAAGAGGCTTCTTCTTACGGAACGTGTGGCGTTGGGTTATTCGAGCTAAGTAAAGTTGAAACCGAAGTTGTGCCATTTGATAATTTTTCCCCTCCTGTTATACGAATTTCTGTTGCGTTTCTCTGTCTCCACTTTGGGCATTGCTGGTTAGTGGTTACCAAACATAAGTGATAAGTCATATGGCAGGTGACTCTGACTTCATGTTTTGTTGCTGCTGTGCTAACGCCTGTTCCCTCCCGTGCTATGTGCTGTGCGCCCGCGCAGTGTTTTCTAACACCCGTCCCCCTGCGTTTCCAGTCTGGCCTGACACCGCTACACGTGGCCTCGTTCATGGGCTGCATGAACATCGTCATCTACCTGCTGCAACACGACGCTAAGCCCAACCACGCCACGGTGCGGGGGGAGACGCCGCTGCACCTGGCGGCCCGCGCCAACCAGGCTGATATCATCCGCATCCTGCTCAGGAACAGGGCAGAGGTGGACGCCCGGGCCAGGGTGAGAAGACAGGGAGGGATGGAGGCAGGGGAGGGACATCCTGCTCAGGAACCGGGCAGAGGTGGACGCCAGAGCCAGGGTGAGAGGGGGTAGAGGGAGGGAGCGAGATAGCCTGCTCAGGAACCGGGAAGAGGTGGACGCCAGAGCTAGGGTGAGAGGGGAGGGAGGGTACATCCTGCTCAGGAACCGGGCAGAGGTGGACGCCCGGGCCAGGGTGAGAGAGGGAGAGGGAGGGAGGGAGGGAGGGAGGGTACAGTCTGCTCAGGAACCGGGCCGAGGTGGACGCCTGGGCCAGGGTGAGAGAGGGAGAGAGGGATAGGGAAGTAGGGAGGGGAGATTGAGGATGAGAGGGGAGCCAGGCCTTCTTTCTAATCCTTGTTTCAGACGTTTGACTAATATCTCGCTTATCTGGCCCTTGTTCATGATCCCTCCCTGGTCTGGGGCTATCAGACTCCCCCGCCCGTTTGAGCTTCTATCTGCCCCTGTCTGTCCCCTATCTGACCCCTGTCCCTGTGGCTGTGTCCCACAGGAGCAGCAGACGCCGCTGCACATCGCCGCCCGTCTGGGTAACGCCGACATCGTGATGTTACTGCTGCAGCACGGCGCCGCGGTCGACTCGACCACCAAGGACCTGTACACGGCGCTACACATAGCCGCCAAGGAGGGCCAGGACGAGGTCAGCCACGTGCTCGGACTGGCCGACCAGCTGTGTCTGTACATCAGTAACGGCTACCTGGCCGACAGAATGAGGCACAGGCTGTGTGAGCTGGTGGCGGCCGCCGGCGGGGGGCAGGGGGACGCGAGGCTGGTGGATGGGGAGGTTTAGTTATCGGGTGGGAGGGTAGTGGTATTTATAAGACCTTTGCATCCCTGTCCTAAGAATATGCTGAGTAATCTGGGGAGGCTTTTCATAATCGTTCTTGGCTTCTCAAGTCAAAACTACTGTGACCTGTATCGAAAGAAAACGTTTCGACCCTGGCAGGACTCGAACCTGCAATCTTCGGATCCGGAATCCGACGCCTTATCCATTAGGCCACAGGGCCCATTGGGCGGATGGGCCTCGGGAGCGGTTCTGACCCGAGCGTGGCCGTGCGGTGTGATCCATATCATGTCAGACTGGGGGGGGGGGGGGATGTGATGTGGCAGGGAGGACTGTTTCGTGGATTCGGGTCAGTGGTGAGAGCACGCGTTCCGGTTACAACAGTCCAGGTTCGAAGCGCGACGGGCGCTTGACATTTATGGGCCTCCTGACAGGTATGGCCGCGGTTGGTGGCAGGCCGTAGCCAGGCGAAGTCAGTGAGGGGACCGGCCGTGCGCGGCTATGTGCGCACGTTAAGCTTTGGACTCTAAATTCTGCCATATAGAATTGGAATTGCGCGATCGGAGGGTAGAGGGCAGGGTCACCGCAACAAGCTTCGCTTAGCAGTGGCTCTGTCCTTGTGAATCCTTCCCATCAAAAGGTTCGAACTAAATTTATAAAAAAGCGCATCTGCCACATGGCAATCGTTCAGTAGCTTACATAAAATCCAGCAGCGTAACGAGCCAGGCTGGGCGAGGGCGAGGAAACGGGCACTCGCCCCCCGTAAAGACCAACAGATATCACTCAAACGTAGCTAATGGATAATTGATCAACACTTACAGATGACACAACCATGCTTCCTGTCTCGCGTATGGCGAGTTCCCTGTGACTTCTTTATGGCATGGCTATTTGATACGATTCACTGTAAATGGCAACTATTGGTTGTTAAATCGATGACTATTCTCCAATGGACTTATCTCCGGGAGGACAATTATCGGCAAAGTTCATTATTTCGGGCGGTGGACGCTTAGTGATGACTGCTCTCGCGACAAACCAGTGCCTTACGTGAGGCAGTGCTCTATAACGTGCCAATCGATTTGCCCTGTGATATTACTTCGGAAATCCGATAAGCCGAATACGGCCGTCCTATTACCGGCTTGGCCATGATTGCAGCCTTCGAGACAGCTTAAGTGAAAGGCCCTCACCCCTCATTCTCTCTCTGTTTGTCAGCAAAGTCTAGTATGCTGCTCAAAAGGGGTTTGTACCAGATGAAATAGGCTCGGTGCGTCTTACTCTGTGCGTTTACGCTGTCCTATGGAACACTAAATCGTCTCGACCGCCTGGTATTATAGGGAAACACCTTCCTCATAAATAATGTGTGGGGACCTCTCGCGTTATCGTGCCCTGGGAGCAAACCATGGGGCTGCCGGCTGGGGTGTGTCTTCCCAAATTTTGAAAGAACCCTGGGACGGAGAAGGCCTTAGTAAGGGCCTTCCTCGAGGATCGCTTCTTCGTTCACCTGTATTTGAGGGCGCGGGGTGCCTGTGTGAGCACAGGCTGTGATAAACCGTATGACCAGTTGACCTGACGGGTGGCTAGCGACCATTGTATGGTAGATAGCTTGTTGTGGTTCCTTTGACCCTCCCGGGTTACCTAGTCCTGAATATCCTCCCTCCTTACCTACCTACCTCATGGGTAAAAGACGGGCTAAAGAGACGATTTCCAACTGGTCAATGATTCGGTGGTCCCCTGTCATGTGATTGTGCACCCTATCGTCTTTCCTCGTAAAGCGGCCGATCAGAGTCATTGTTGGTATGTGTGCAGTGTGTAGGTTTTGCCACAGTTTGGATTTATTTTGGGTTTTGTTATATGCAAGTCGTTTGATTATTATTTATTTCGCAGTGAGTTGATGTGGTGACGTCAGCAGCGGTCCTAGGCGTTTTGTTGATACCCTAAGCTAGTCAAATGGCTGTTTTGTTTTGTTTTGTTACGTTGTTAGTGAAAGTTTGGTTTCAAAGGCAAGTCAAAAGACCCGTTTTATGATGCGTTTTTTGTATCGCTACCAACTTCTTGGCCGTGCGATCCTATCAAGATGGCCGTAAATCGATACACTCGGTGATATTTATTTGCGGCACATTGCATTTATATTTTACTGATTTATGTTGAAGTCATCACACGCCTCCCAGATATGATTTGCCCCCTCTGACGTTGAGAGTATGTGAGCGCCATGTGTGGTCTGTAGCCGTCAGTAGGTATCACCTCTCGTCTTCCACTGCAGTGTGTGACGTATGTGCGGCCCTGTCCCAGTCAGTGCGTCGGATTGTTGTGTTCACAATACACCAGTGGGCCGCCACCTGTGCCTTTCTGCCACTGCCGCCGCCGCCCGCCGAAACTGCCGCCGCCTCTGCCATTACTTACCTAACGCTTCGGCTAAAAAACGACGCCGTCCAGCTTCGGCTATCATAGCGTAAACAGCTCACTGGCTTCTTATTGTTATATGTTTTCTCCATACTGAAAAACCAAATTCATCAATGAAAGAAATGAATATATTTTTTCACATCTAAAGCCAAGTCAGTAGTGCTAGAAGATATATTTTTACTAGTGCTAAGTGGGGGCCGTTTGAGCGGAATCTGCTGCGGCTCGGCGGGTCGCGGCAGTTGTGACGGCCAGCGGCAACGGCGGCAGAGGCGGCGCAGGGGGCGCCACGCCCTGGGCACTATTTTTAGCGCCGTGCGGCACTTCTGGCGCGCTGCCCGCCGGTGGCAGTGGCGCTCCCCCCCCCCCCTCAGGGCAGGTGGGAGCCCGGTCTGGGTCAACTGTTTACCGAGGGCCCAGGGCTGAGTCAGAAATTGTGGTCGTTTGTGCCACGGGTAGGAAGATTCCCCTGATGCTGCTGTGTCCGTGTGATAGGGGTGTCCCTGGACAGCTCAGGTGTACATGTGTGACCTCTATGTCGAAGTGTGTTTTTACCCGTGACATGTGTCCCATGTCGGCTCCGCTAAGTGGCCCGCTTTTCTCGGCCTAATGGCGGGGACGCTGTTGGCCATACGCCAAAGGGGCGAATGGGTGGTGATTCGTGGGTGGGAGGGTAAAATGTCATGCTTGAGGGCGTTGGGAGAGGGAGGGAGGGAGGGAGGGCGCGGGACTTGAAACCTATGTGATAGAAGGAAAGTGAGGGAGGTAGTAACGGCGTCAAACTTTGTTGTCCGGTGTAAAAGTTTATCCTATCGACGGGCATCGTATCATGAGAATAAGCAACAATGTTTGTAAACTTAGCTAAGGTCGAAGCGTGTATTGGCAGAAGTCGCCCTCCGTCATTCTGTTCCGCACCGTTCATTTCCCGCTCCCCCCGCTCCGTCAGGTTGCCCAGGTGCTGATGGAGCACGGCGCCTCTCTCTCGGTCCGTTCTGTGTAGTTCCGTGTTCAGTACTGTGTTCAGTTCCGTGTCGTTCGGTGCTCAGTTCCCGTTCGCTCTTCCGTCAGGTGGCCCAGGTGCTGATGGAGCACGTCGCCTCTCTCTCTCTCTCTCTCTCTCTCTCTCTCTCTCTCTCTCTCTCTCTCTCTCTCTCTCCCCGTTCCATGTTCAGTACTGTGTTTAGTGTAGTGCCGCTCCGTGCTCAGTTCCCGCTCCCCCCGCTCCGTCAGGTCGCCCAGGTGCTGATGGAGCACGGCGCCTCGCTCTCGGCGGTCACCAAGAAGGGCTTCACGCCGCTCCACCTGGCCGCCAAATACGGAAACATGCGCGTCGCCAAGACACTGCTGGCCAAGGACGCGCCCGTGGACGCCCAGGGCAAGGTGAGCTCACCAGAGGTCACAAACGGGGACCAAAGGCAAGGAGATCACCATAGTCAGATCGTCTAGCCTGGTGAGGACCGTCTGAGGCCTGGGGAGGTGCAGAATAACTGAAGGATCACCAGAGAGATTACTCGGGGTCGGTCTACCCGCAGTTCGTTGGTCAGTGTGGTCAGAGACAGGTGACCTGAGAAGTGAGAAGCTCACGAGGAGAAGGAGCGAACTGAGAAGTTCGTGGGTCATCGGGGGTCGCGTGTGTGCCTTGGTGGGAGGAAGTCGCCAGTCGTCGCCAGCTGAACGTGTTTCTTTTTCATTAAGTTACCCCTCTCCCCGTCAGAACGGCGTGACTCCGCTGCACGTGGCGGCCCACTACGACCACCAGAATGTGGCGCTGCTGCTGCTTGAGAAGGGGGCCTCCGTCAAGGCCACCGCCAAAAACGGCTACACGCCGCTGCACATCGCCGCCAAAAAGAATCAGGTATGGGTGGAAACTGGGGGAACCTGGTGTAGTTGGTGTGGTACTGCAGAACCGTGCCGATTGAATTGCAGCAGAGTTGACTCAGTCAAACATTAGAGAGATATTTACTTGCTGTGAGACCTCATCGTGGTTTTCATTTGGAAATTTTCCCTTGAATATCGCGTTATTGAGCTTTCTTCGTGACGTAGTAGAAAGCAAGGTGTGAAGGATGATTTTCAGAAGGTCTTTATGTGCAATCGGTTTGATCATGATAACTAGTTTACCATCATATTTCTTCTGAAATGAAACAGGCTTAACATTTAAAACTAACAACAGCTACTGACGGTGACTAGTGCTGAGATGAAGCTATGTCCGATGCCCCACGCTGTGCCCACACTGTCCATCTGCCTTCTGTGCCGCTTCGGTAATCCGTCAGCTCTAACGGTTTGTGTCCCGTCAGATGGACATAGCCACCACTCTGCTCGAGTACGGCGCCGAGACCAACTGCGAGTCCAAGGCCGGGTTCACACCGCTCCATCTGGCCGCTCAGGAGGGACACTCGGACATGAGCACACTGCTCATCGAACACATGGCAGACGTCAACCAGAAGGCCAAGGTGGGGATAGGGGTGCTAAGGGAGGGAGGGAGGGAGGGAAAGACACTTGGATTTGAAACGCTGCCCTGAGCATCTCTGAGTAATTAAGCCTCTTGGAAGTTCGATATCGTCGTTATGACGATGAAGAGTCAAACACCTGTCAAGCCATGTATCTGCAGAGAAAATAGTCATTACCAGAGTCAATTCAAGTTTTCTTTAGGTGCTCTTCTGCCCATCGGTGAACCATGTTATCCCTTTCTTGACAATCGTCTGCCCCTCTCTACAGAACGGCCTGACGCCGCTGCACCTGTGCGCCCAAGAGAACCGTGTACCACTACCGGTGGCTGCCCTCTGACCCCCTCCCCTCCCCTCAGAACGGCCTGACGCCTCTGCACCTGTGCGCCCAAGAGGACCGTGTGCCTGTGGCGGCCCTCTGACCCCCTCCCCTCTCTACAGAACGGTCTCACGCCGCTGCACCTGTGCGCCCAAGAGGACCGGGTGCCGGTGGCGGCCCTCTGACCCCCTCCCCTCCCCTCAGAACGGTCTCACGCCGCTGCACCTGTGCGCCCAAGAGGACCGGGTGCCGGTGGCCGCTATCCTAGTGAAGCACGGGGCAGAGGTGGGACCAGAGACGGCGGCCGGCTACACGCCGCTGCACGTGGCCTCGCACTTCGGGCAGCTCAACATGGTCCGATTCCTGCTGCAACATCAGGCCGAGGTGAGGGACGCGGGGAGGGATGGAGAGTTGGGGGAGATGGAAATGGAGATTTATATTGAGACGGAGATAGAGAAAGAGATAGAGATAGAGATAAAAAGGAGAGGTGGATACGGAGGGCTGACCCACTGCTTAGTGGATAATATGACCTTTGGAGGTTTCGCGATATCAGTTTTGCTTTCATGTTTTTTTTTTGTTTTGTTTTTTGTTGTTGGGTTAGGCCCTTTCGGTCCAATGAGACCATTTCAGAGCCGGGAGGATGATAGGATATAGGGGGAGATATTGGTCTGGGCATGTACTCTAGTGAGTCGCCGGGGCTGAGCCCGTCCAGAGGACAGGCCACCCAGCCCCAAGGCACTCACTGCACCCGGCTACGGGGTGCCGGCTCCCTCGGGAGCAGCGGTGCCGCTCCAAGGGAGCAGCCCGCATGAGATAAAGTTGCCTGTCCAGCCCGGAAGGGGGTTGCGGGGTGGAGGAGAAGGACTTCTGTATCCTGAGGATAGAAGTACGGATCGGTGTGCTTTCATGAAGAGCATATGGCTGATAGGTCTGCTGCCTGATATAAAGTTTTCCATTTGACTCGCCACGACTCTGACCTGTTTTCGAACTGACCCTTATGATTCCCCTCATCAGGTGAACCCGGTGACCGCTGCGGGCTACACGCCGCTGCACCAGGCCGCCCAGCAGGGGCACACTCTCATCATCAGCCTGCTGCTCGAACACAAGGCGCAGCCGAACGCCGTCACCAACGTGAGTAGCGACGCACCGCGGACAGACGCTGAACTAACGCCAGAGCGACGCTCCGCGGGCGGAGGTAGAGCTGGCTCTGGCCACCGGGCCACCGACGGAACCGCAGGAGCGTTCTAGACCCGACGGTGACATCCGTTGAACGTATAGGTGTTTGGAATAGTAGGAACCTTGGTATGGAAACGAGGCCGCCCTTCGTATCTCACTTTCAACCAGTCTGATTTCTCTCTCGTCCTTTGCTCCTCGCCCTCATTCCTTCATCCTGGTTTTGTTTTCGTTGTTCTGAGCCGGTATCTTTGCATTATCCTTGTCGCTCTGCCCTGCCGTCTACTGCCCGATCCCGGTCCCTCCCTCTGCCGTTGACACGTTGACACCTCCGCGGTGTCAGGTGTCGGCCTCTCTCTCTCTCTCTCTCTCTCTCTCTCTCTCCTCTCTCTCTCTCTCTCTCTCTCTCTCTCTCTCTCTCTCTCTCTCTCTCTCTCTCTCTCCCTCCCTCTCTCTCCCTCTCTCCCTCCAGCTCCCGTTGACACCTCTGTCTGGCCGCGTTGTGGGTGGCGGCGGCGCTGGACAGAGGACACCGATACCGACCACAGGTCCGGTCACAGGTCCGGGTTAGGTTACCGGCGGAATGCCGACACCAGTCTGATCTCCACCCCCACTGGGTTGAGAGAGAGGACGGGTGGTTACTGACCGATAGAGGCGCTCAATGGTGCGATATTGCGCGGTGTAGCTGATTCTGACTGGAGTTTTGTGGGACATGAAGGAAGAGCAAAAAGAGCTCTAGGAGAGTAAATGCAACAGTTAAGATTCTCTTATTCCAACACAACCTTTTATCTCTTAGCTATTGACAAGCTCCCGGTCCCGACAGACATTTTTTTTTGTCATAAGCAGAGGATGTATTCAGTAGACAGGCCCATAAGCACCGCCCTGTCCCTGTCACTGTGAGGCTTTGCCGCCGCCTCGGGCTATCACCGCGGCTCGGAAGGGCTGACCGTGCGCCGGCCCACAGAGTCGCTGATGAGAGCTCCTCTCGTGGTAAAGGTCACACCAGATATGGCCCGGCTGACCTTTGGCGTCCCCCCTCCCAATGACCCCTCCCGGTGTGACCGCGGGCTGATCAGACGCTGACCTTTAGGGAAGGCGTAGCCAGAGGCGGGGCGGCGGAGCGGAGCGTATGGCTGCGAGCATTGGAGGGCCACGCGAACACTTAAGGAGTGATGGACAGGGAGTTGATGGGATAAAAGTGCCGTAGAATATGTAGAGCAGTAGCTAGTCAAAGAAGAGCTAAGGCATTGTAGGTTGGTGGCTAATGGTGCAGTGCTTTTCTAGGAATTACTTTTGACAGACTTCCCCCTCGTTTCGACAAACTAGCCAAACTACTCTATCAAATTGTTCTTCTCTGACCCCTCTGACTCCCTCTGACTCTTCTAACCCCTCCCTCGTTCACAGACTGGCCAGACGGCGCTGTCGATCGCCCAGCGGCTGGGCTACATCTCCGTGGTGGAGTCTCTGAAGGTGGTGACGGAGACGGTCATCACCACCACCACCACGACGGTCACGGAGGAGAAGTACAAGGTGGTCTCGCCGGAGACCATGCAGGAGACCTTCCTCAGCGACAGCGAGGATGAAGGAGGTGGGTGGGCAGAGAACGGAGGAGGGGGAGGGAGAGGGAGGGAGGGACCTTCCTCAGCGACAGCGAGGACGAAGGAGGTGGGTCGGGAGAACAGAAAGGGAGAGAGGGAGAGGGTAGGAGGGAGAACTACCGGCGAGAGTGTAAAGCGCGTTGAAAGGCGTTTTGTGAGACTGAAAGAGAAAGGAGGATAAGAAACGGGTGACGAAAAAAGAAAATGATATGAATGCCAGCACGGTTACGGTGGTAAATGAACACAAACGTTTACGGGGAGTAAGAATGGACGAGCGAAAGCAGAAATAAGTGAAAATTAAAGTCTGAGAATTTGAGATGATTTAACACGCGCAGTGGAAGGGTTGCGAGTACTACGCCCAGTGGAAGGGGGGGCGGATGTCGCCCCCCCCCCTAAGATCTCAGCTCCCACTAGAGCTAGAAAGACGAAATTTGGAGGGTAAGTGGGGGCCTAGGGGAACTCTGTTGTGTGTGAATTTCATGACCCTAGGTCAATATCTTCAAGGTCAAATGAGGTCAAAAGTGGTCAAATCTGCCATATTAGCGACTTTTTTGCGTTTATACGCCGATAACTCAAAAAGTTACCGGCTGATTTTCTTTTTTCTTTCACTATACGAAAGAACATACATTTGTGAGTATGTATGGTGAATTTCTTGTTAATCCTACGATAAATATGGCAGTTAGAAGCCTGCTAAGCGTAAGATGTCGCCGGCTGAAGCGGGATCGGCGGACGCGGGAAACGCGGCAATCACAATTTTGTGTTTACACACTCATAACTCAAGTTGTTACCGGCCGATTTTCAAAATTTTTTGACCATAAGATTGCCTGTACATTTCTTTGTCTTCTCACAAAAATTGACACGAATCGAATATAATCAGCGGTAAGGAGCGCGATGTAAAGACCGAACCGTCCCGCCCCGGCACAGTCTACAATTCAGGCGGCGCGTGCCGCCGCGGCGGCAGGATGTTTGACTTTACACCGCTATTACTAGAAAAGTTGTGACCCGATTTTTTTATTTCTTGCACGAGAAGATCCGCAGTTCAATTCTGGACAGGTAGCCAAAATTTCACATTAATATCATGTTTGCGGCGCGAGTTATTGGCGAAAAACAGGAGGGGTGGGCGAAATCCGCCCCCCCCCCTTCCACTGCGCGTGTTAAGAGCATGTGAAGAGGGTGTGTGGAAAACCCGAGATGCATAAATCGCAGCGCTCTAACCGTGTAGACGACTGTGAGTGTCAGTTTTGGTCTGTCGTGAATCCATGTGATAGGGTTTTACCAGGTTCTTCATGGACAAAATCTGTTTGGTGACTGGAGGTTACGGTCTTGGTGGCGGAGTTCTGATTTCTCTTGGCGTTCTGTGTGCCCCTAATGATGCATTCTCTAGTTCTTTCCTCAATGAAAGAAAAGCGGCCACTATCGAAAGCTGTCCCTCTGGAATCAAATTGTCCATTTAATCTCCATGGAACCCACCGAGCGCCTGTTGATAAACCAATATGTACGATTCATTGCCTGTGTCTTTCGCCTCCCCAAATAGGCCAATCAGTGTAGTCTGGTCATTGATTTTCCGTCTCAGTAGCGGCCTGGCTCCTCAGCCGCCCAATATCGGGCGGGGGGGGGGGGCGATGGCCTCTCAGCTTCCCAATATGGGGGGGGGGGGCTCTGAGCTGCCCAATATCGGGCCACTCTCATTCGTGCTAATTGATCTGGGAGCAGACGCCGCTCGACCGGGCTGCCGACCTCTTATTACGTTCGGTGACGTCAACAGGGGGCCATGGACCGAAGGGGAGGGATGCAAAGATGGGATGGAAGGATTGAAAGTGGTGCCTTACGTTACGACATCCTGACAGCCCTAGTACTCTTCATTGTAAATTTTGGTGTAACCTTGGCTCATTTATTTATCTATTTATCGACTAAGCTTTGTTTTCTTGTTGAATGTTGGCGCCCCATACAGAGCTATCGATTCTTTGTTTCGTAGTTTGTGCGCCCTGCAGTGCCTTACATATCGTATCCGCCGTATAATTGGCTTGCATTCCTCAGTTCTGTGCTCATACCGTTTAGTTGCTGTCTGTAGTATCATGCCCCCGTTGTGTTGCCTCCGGACCCCTCCCCTGTACCCCCCGCGTGTCTGACGGAACGGGTACGACCAGGGGACGATTTTCTCGACTCTGCTGTGTACGGGCGTCCGTCCAATGCCCAGCACGTGTACCTGCCCTATTACGAGGGCCAGATGGAACTCAGTCGTAAGTGGACCCCCCGGCGTGCGCTAACCCCCCTGCTCCGAGCACCCCTCCCCTCCCCCTGCCGAGACGGGGGGCGGCATGGCGACTGCAGACCCCGCGAATGACTGCATGACTCCGGAAAGGCTGACAAATGGAAATTGTGAACGAAATTGAAAGCCGGGTGGTTAATGAGAATGGTATGATGCATTTGGCTGACTGGCATTGATGGAAAAGCTGTACTGATGCATATTGCATAGCGATAAACAGAGCTAACAGTCATGATCAGACAAATAAAAGGAAGAAAGATCCGGCTGTGAGATGCCTGAGGAGGACGTTTGGGGATGTTCGATCCGCACCATGGCTAGGTCTGAGACTACCCTGGAGGGACTTGTCGGGCTTGCTGTCCGGCACAGACCCCGCATTGTGATGTGTCTCCACAGTCCACTGAGCTGTGATGTGTGCAGTGTGCTGTGCTGTGCTGTGTGCAGTGAGTGTATCGCGCGTCCCTTTGATGCGCTGCAGTGTGTGTGTGTGTGTGTGTGTGTTGTGTGCAGACTGCAGAGTGCAGTGTGTGCGGACCATGCGTCCCTCTGATGCGCTGCAGTGTGTTGTCGTGTCGGCGCATCCTGGCTCGCTGCTCGGTCGGCGTCAACTGCCTTGATGTTGTATACTAACGCCCCGCGCTAACCCGGCGGTGCATTCTTGGACTAAGAATGGACGGGCGCGAGTGTGCACTGGGCATGCACGGACACTAACCCGGGGCTGATTGGGGGGGGGGGGGAGGGGGTAAAGAAGCCGCTGTGGCAGCACTGGTCTGCGGGGCTGCTGCCTGAGCGGTGGGCACGGACAGGGAGGGTGGTTTAAATGGATTGGGGAGACGCTTGTTCTCTGATTGACGATGCGTACGGTTTACTCTTAAGGAAAGTCGACAGCATATTTGGCATTTCCTCTCAAGTATCGTTATATATTTATGGTCAGTTATGAATTGCTGGAGTGTCTTTTTTAGCGCATTGGAAGCAAATCACTGCCAAAGGCTGTTTTAGTAGGTATAATGTGTCGCCTCTACAGAGTGGGTACTTAGCGGAGCCCCATACTGTGAGCTGCTCTCCCCTGTTGTTGGCTCCTGGTATAGAGGCCCCCGGCGCTGCCCCTTTGAGTCCAGCAGTCGGCACCGCTCGCCGGCCCGGCGTGGTCGATAAATCGATGTCTGGCCGCCCTGCAGCCCGACTCGGCCGGAATTTCATTAATATTTGCCCTTATGGATGGCCATTGGGTCCCGGGGGCACCGGCTATGAGCAGTAAACAGTCGCAGAGCGTGTTTTTGAACATACATTAGTCGGTAGTAGGGGATCACGTATAGGCGGGGTGGGTGTGGCAACGAATGCATTCGTCATGGTATATTTGTAACGATATTTTGGGCATCTTGAAACTAAAATTAAAAGAATCGTAATGCGATATCACATAATATGAATTCCTCATCAGGTATGATGTGTTATTTTATCTTGATATTTTAGAAATGGAGGCTCTTATCAGGAGTGCAGTTTTTTGGTTCACAAATTATAATGAAGATCTAATGCTTTCCACAGGAACAAAGCGGTTCGCTGTTGTGTGCAGCCTTCTCATTGGAGCTGCTCGCTCCATCGATTAGTTGCACCATGCAACATCCATCTCCTGTTAACTATTCATTTACTAGGCAGGGTCATAACTCACACAGCTTCACAAAGGGAGCCGCCCTGTTCCCATGTCGGCACATACCGGTGTCCATAGGGGTCAGTTTACAGCACAGCCGGGCGGCCGGTGACCCTTCCTGACACGGTGGGTGGTCGCCGCGGGGTCCGCGGGCGGTCAGTTCGTATGGCTGGGGGTGGGGTACGACGGCCGGTGTTGGCTGGTTTGTTCGCCGGTCGATACGTCAGGCTAGGACGGACGGAAGGTGTGCCATACAGGTGGTACAGATCAATCGTGCACGCTGTGGGTCGTCACAGGGTGGAGGTCATATCAATTCTATCCTTGGTCCAGCTTAAGTAGATTACGTCACATGGGAACTACGCTAATCTAAATTCAGCGCCTGGAGTAGTGGGGTTTTAATCTAGGATCGGCTTCCAGTTCTGCCGGCTCTGCCTGATGCTATATTCGTCTGGTTTCGGTTTTAGTTGTACCCGCAGTTGTACCCGCAATCAAGTGTTCATCGAATCGTTGAGTACAAATTGAGCTATGAGAGAAGCCATCCTGTTTATTTCCAATTATTTTGGCTGGCATTTCCCGCTCCCAGTCCGTATGGTCTCTTGGAAGATCATTGGTTGCCTTTCCGCACGCACTCTCCATGGCCCGAGTGCCGCTGGCCGCTCCAGTTTGGAGACTGGTTCCTCTTTAGATGAATAATTTCTGCCACTCCACCGCCCAGAGATGTCGCGAGGGTCCCGTTCGTCTCTGTTACCGGACCGTCCGGGGACCCTGCCGGACCGCCCGTCTCGGCTACCGCGCGCAAAGTTGGTGTTTTATTCAGAACTGGATCATCGGCGGGGCGCGCCCCGGTAACGTCAAAACTGCGTGAGGACGACGACCTCCATCGGTTTCCGTTTTCGGGTACGGAGGCGCTCCGAGGCGTGCTCTGCCGATTGCGCTGATGGCAGACGGCCGAAGACGGCAGACGGTGCGTCCAATCTCCCGATGGGTAGGCGATCTCGGAGTGCAGGCGGAGCGGTAAACACGTAAACTGCGCCCGGGTGTCATATCCGAGGCGACGCGCCCGCTCTGTTTTGATGGAGCTCGGCGGTTAGGGTGGCGGTATCGATCTGATAGCTGCTCCCCCGTTGGCAGTCGCTCCTTCTGCGAATTAACATTCATCCTCCCCGCCCCTCCGGCGCGGCGGTGCGGCCACCGGCGCCGCTGCCAGCCCGGCTTTACAGCTCCTCCGGCTCCTAAACAGCCGAACGATCGCCCCGCCGCCGCCGCCGCCGCCGCCGCCGCCGTTGCTTCCCGTTACGCTGAACGCCACCATCGTCTCCGGCTGTCCGCCCTGGTATCTGAGCTCATTTATCTGCCGGCACCGGCGCCATCGGCGTCCACCCGCAGCCCGCAGTTCGTTGCAGAATCGGGAGGCTCTGGACGCCATCGATCCGGCGGGCAGAGCTGCGCCAGCTCCTCCTGAGATGGGGGGGGGGGGGGCTGTAAACTTGGAGTGGAGCAGTTACGGGCGCCGAGAGACAGACCCGCGAGCCGGAATTAGGGTAGGTAATGGTTAGCGCCCAGAGATAGTGTTGGGGATTCCCGTGTAACTGTCACATAATGCAAAATTAGAAGACATGTGCAGAAATTAGGAAGAAATATGAATAGCAGAGGAATACGTATGCCTAGTATTTTCCAAAATAAGTTTTGCGTGGAGAAAATTAGATATATGAAGGTCCGCACATTTCTATAATAACCGTCGACTGGGGCATAATAAAGGCGCTGTGTCCGACAGTGAGACTGATGGGACGGGCTGCTGAGCTGAAAGGGCCGAGCGGCGGCCGAGTGCGGGCTCAATCGACGCCTAAAGTGAGGGACGGGACTGGATCCATTCAGTGCGTCCCCTCGCTGAGTGCCGCGCTGCGGTGACGGACGATGCTTCTGATCAGTGACGCCCGGCGCCTCTGGCCACAGTGACGGGCAGTGCTGAAAATGCATTGACAATGTGAGAGCTAAAAGAGCAGCAAAGACCGTTGTCAGGAGACATGATGTGACTCTGTCGGATCAGTGCGGTTGTGGCACTGTCAGCATGGCCAATTTTGAACACGGTGATGCTGACCAAGGGTGGTGGATTATTTCTAGCGGAATACGAGTCCTCCGTGGAGTAGAGCTCACGTCCAGGCGATGAACCGCTGGGTTCATCCATCAAACGTCAGCGGGATGTCGCAGATGGCAAAAGTTGGCGACCTTTTCGCTGAAACATCACCAAAGTTGGACGTCAATACGGTCCAAGTTCTTGGAGTCATTTCGATCAGCGTGTAAACACATTTATGGTCTGCGCTAATCAAACTTCACGACCGCGTCAGCCAGTGAGCTCTGAAAGATCTGCAAACTTCTCCACTCTCTCCTTCGATCGTCCTCCCAGCCTCTCTACGTCGGGTAGCAACAGAATGTGTCTCTTGTTTCCGAGACATCCCTCGAGACACACGACTTCCGCTGCCTGTAACACGCGCTCATCTGCCGCCGCGCTAAACGACCTCCCAGTGACACTGGGCCACTCCGCCCCTGGGAAATCATCCCTGAGACACGCCGCGGTCCCTGTCGACCTCTGATGGCCCGCTGTCGGCCTCTGATGGCCCGTGGTCGACCTCTGGCGGCCCGCTGTCGACCTCCGACCTCTGATGGCCCGCTGCCGACCTCTGATGGCCCGCTGTCGGCCTCTGATGGCCCGCTGTCGACCTCTGATGGCCCACTGTCGACCTCTGATGGCCCGCTGTCGACCTCTGATGACCCGCTGCCGACCTCTGATGACCCGCTGTCGACCTCTGGTGGCCCGCTGTCGACCTCTGATGGCCCGCTGTCGACCTCTGATGGCCCACTGTCGACCTCTGATGGCCCACTGTCGACCTCTGATGGCCCGCTGTCGACCTCTGATGGCCCGCTGTCGACCTCTGATGGCCCGCTGTCGACCTCTGATGGCCCGCTGTCGACCTCCGACCTCTGATGGCCCGCTGTCGACCTCTGATGGCCCGCTGGCGACCTCTGATGGCCCGCTGGCGACCTCTGATGGCCCGCTGTCGACCTCTGATGGCCCGCTGACGACCTCTGATGGCCCGCGGTCGACCTCTGATGGCCCGCGGTCGACCTCTGGCGGCCCGCTGTCGACCTCCGACCTCTGATGGCCCGCTGTCGACCTCTGATGGCCCGCTGTCGACCTCTGATGGCCCGCTGTCGACCTCTGATGGCCCGCTGTCGACCTCTGATGGCCCGCTGTCGACCTCTGATGGCCCGCTGTCGACCTCTGATGGCCCGCTGTCGACCTCTGATGGCCTGCTGACTCCCAAGTCCCAGCT